TCTTAGCATCTGCTTTGTTACCTTGCTAGGCAGCATCTTTCAAAGGCTCTCTGTAGTAGGCTCTTGTTCTATTCCCTATTTTCTCCCTCTTCCGATGTCCACTCCATTTGCCTTTCTGAGTGAGGATTGATGATCTTACCCAGGATCCTCCTTCTTGCTTAGCTTCTTTAGGTGTACAGATTTTAGTATGTTTATCCTATATTATACGTCTAATATCCACTTATAAGTGAGTATATACCATTTGTGTCTTTCTGCTTCTGGGATACCTCACTCAGGATGATCTTTTCTAGCTCCCACCGTTTGCATTCAAATTTCATGATTTTCTTGTTTTTAATTGCTGAGTAGTATTCCATTGTGTAAATGTACACCACAATTTCTGTATTCATTACTCAGTTGAGGGGCATCTGGATTGATTCTAGATTCTGGCTATTATGAATGAAGCTGAAAAGAACATGGTTAAGCAAAATGTCCTTATTGTGTACTTGAGCCTCTTTTGGATATATGCCTATGAGTGGTATAGCTGGATCTTGAGGAAGCACTATTCCTAATTGCCTGAGAAAGCACCAGATTGATTTCCAGAGTGGTTGTACAAGTTTACATTCCCACCAGCAGTGGAGGAGGGTTCCCCTTTCTCCAATCCTCTCCAGCATGTATTATCACTTGAGTTTTTTATCTTAGCCATTCTGATGGGTGTAAGGTGAAATCTCAGGGTCATTTGGATTTTCATTTCCCTGATGACTAAGGATATTGAGCATTTCTTAAAGAACACTTAAAGTGTTTGTCTACCATTCAATACTCCTCTATTGAGAATCCTCTGTTTAGCTCTGTACCCCATTTTTTAATTGGATTACTTGATTTGTTGCGTTTTAACTTCTTGAGTTCTTTATATATTCTGGATATTAGCCCTCTGTCAGATATAGGGTTGGTGAAGATCCTTTCCCAATCTGTAGGCAGTCATTTTGTTCTGATGTCAGTGTCCTTTGCTTTACAGAAGCTTTTCAGTTTCATGAGGTCCCATTTATAGATTGTTGATCTTAGAGCCTGTGCTGTTGGTGTTCTGTTCAGGAAGTTGTCTCCTGTGCCAATGAGTTCAAGGCTCTTCCCCACTTTTTCTTCTAACAGGTTGAGTGTGTTTGGTTTTATGTTAAGGTCTTTGATCCACTTGACTTTAGTTTTGTGCAGGGTGATTAATATGGATCTATTTGCATTTTTCTACATGTAGACATCCAGTTAGACCAGCACCATTAGTTAAAGATGCTGTCTTTTTTCCATTGTATGTTTTTTTTTCTTCTTTGTCAAAATCAAGTATCCATAGGTCTGTGGGCTCTGCATGTACTCTCTTGAAGGCACAGTCACTAGCTTGAGGGCCTAATAAGAAAGCACAGGGCTTCCCCCTGCTCTCTACTCTCAGATTCGGGCCTGCTGGGGCAAATGAGAGTGTAGGAGATCCATCAGCTCAGTGCTGTCCACTGTTTGCCTGCTGGGCAGGGCGACCTCTACTTGGGGCAGCCGCCTCTGCTTTCTCAGTCACAGAGCACAGAGGCTCCTGCATGGGCTAGTCACAGCCACTGATGTGGGAAGCCTGTACTGCTGCCTGCCGCTGCTGCCGTCCTGGGAGGCCCTTACTGCCACTGCTTCTGTTGTCTCAGTCACTGAGCACAGATGCTCCTGCTTGAGGCAACCAGTGCTGCCTCCACCAAGCAGGGAAGCCCATGTTTAGGGCAAGGGAGAGTGCAGGGCAGTTGAATATTCACCACTCTCAGTTCCTGGAGATGGCCATAGGTGACCTGGATCCAAACTGTTCCAGCTCATGGGTTGTTTCCTCTCACCCAGGAAGCCTCAATGTGGATATTCTGGCTTCAGCGGCCCCTCCACTCACCAATTTCAGAGTTTTGGTTCTTGTGCCACTCAGACATGGTGCGCACTGGTCACCGCCATCTTGGACTCTCCCCCCAACTCCCTCTTATATACACATGCACGTGCGCACACATATGCACACGCACACACACACATACACTTGGAAGGGAGAGACTATGAGGCATTGTTAGGTTCTGAGAGTTCAGAGATGGAATCCAGACATATTTGCTCATGAAGGGTTCAGCCCAGTGAGGGAGAGGAAGATGTCAGTGATCAAAACATTGTGTTGAGGTTCACAAATGGTTGTAAAAGGAGAACTACAGGCTCAGTGAGCAGAGCCCTTCAATGCATCTGGGAGCCAAAAGATAAAAGACAGCTTCTGGGATCAGTGATTTTTGACTTCATACTTGAAATGAAATCAAGTGTCATCAGGCAGAAAATGTGGGCTCCTGTGTGTTTCTGTGCTTACTTTCATCGAGGGCTTGTTTCCCTCTAGGTTAGTCTAGCATGCATTTCTGGTCTTACACAAACATTTTATAGAAGATTCAGCTGGTAGTAAATCAACCATGAGAACATTTGGAAAGACATAAACAAGAATTTTCCCCTAAGGATACTATTCCAAAAGGTGAACGGCTCAGACCATGTTGCTTTATTGTTCTCACACTTACAGATGATCTACCTTCCTGTTGCCCCTAGAACAGTCTAATATTTCGGGTCAAAACGAAACAAAAAATAACATGAGTAGAGGAGCTTCACATGTGGAAGAACAGCCTTCCCAGGGGCCTAGCAAGTCCTGTTGAACTATGTGGAATTGGACAATACATGTAACAAGAGTATATGGATGATCTAAGATGCTATTCCACATTTGAAATTTACCAATGACATGGTATGCATCTGTTTCCTTGAGTGTTGCACTTTTTTTTAAATTTCATTTCCTCAAATTCTGAAAAAGACTCATAGAGACTTTTTTGGGGTCACATGACTAAGGACTGGCAGAATAGAGTCAGAGTCTAAGCTGACTGTAAATTCCATGCTTTTCACTAACCAAGGACAAAATAAAATTTTGTAAGTGTAAGCTTGAAGCCCAAGCTCTGCTTCACGTCTGTCACCAGAATAGTTGTATAGGGAGCTCCATTTGGGTAAGCTTAATTCTGTACATTGACTAAAAGCGCTCAGGCCTTTAAGAGACCTGATGGTCAGATTTAGTTGCCAGATTGCCACAATTCAGACTCACATGGCAAGAGTGTCTCAAGCCTAGATCATAACGGCTCTGGGCATGCGTGTGAAGGGTTTTTGTTACTGTTAGTTGAGGTGAGAAAACTCACCCTGCCTATGAGAGAGATGACCTCATAAGCTGGGCGCTGAGCTGGGTAAGAATAAAGAACACAGCTCAGCAAGTGAGCATGCAGACGCTCACCGACTGCCAGCTCTGGACCGTGGGTGTGATGGCACGATGCTGCCCCGATTTCCTGCCTTGATGGGCCATGGATGGGACTGCGAGCTAAAGGAAACCTTCGCTCCTCCGGGTTGCCTTTTGACAGGTATTTCAGCATAGTAATAAAAATGAAATTAGAACAGGAGGCAGATGGGAAGAGATGATGACTTCAGGGTTGGGCACCATGATTTGATAAAAAGAGTGGTGCCCGCGGGTGTAAGTTTACTTTGTGTCACTGTGGTGAATTCTGTCCTGGCACAATGCAGGAAGAAGGCCCTATCAGAGGCTGACTGGACATTTGAATCATATCCTCTGCTCCCTTTCACCTCCTAGAGCCATGAACAAAATAGATCTAAATGAAGTCTTGCTAAAAAATTACCCAGTCAGGGATATTTCCTGTAAAACATAAAAACTTTGGCAGTAGTGATTGGACAGCTTGTCAAGAGGGCAAGGAAGAGACTGTAAGCCACTGAGATAGACATCGCTGAATTATGAAGTCAGTTATTAGAGTGAACTCGTTGATAGAAGTTATCGTATTAGAAGTTCAGAGCATAATCACAACTTGAAAAGGGTTGACACTTTTTAGTGACATAAGTTGGCCCATCTCTTTACCTGTATATGGATTATATTTTAGTCCCTTCCTTTAGTTTTAACGTACTGTGTGTTTGCGTACATGCGTAGGGGAAACTGGAGAAAGATGGAGAGATGGATGGTAAGTCACCTTAAAGCCATGAAACACTCAGGAGACAGGAAAGGCTAGGTGGCCAGGAAATGTGCTCAGTCTCCCCGTTTAGAGCAGTTTGACTTATAGTATTTTAACCTCTGACTTCTCAACCTTAAGACGCTGTGACGCAATCTACATCCAGTAGGAATCAGCTTTTCAATACTGATCTCTTCTAGACTGGCAATGTGTGTTGAGTGCTCTGTGCTGTTGTCGGGCCGTGAACGGCTGATGGCCTGGTGGTCTGAGCTGCCCATTTGTTTTTGATGCTGTGGTTTGGATTTCTGTATCTCGTCATGTCTACCAAACACCCGCCTGTGTGGGTATGAAATCGTCACCAGTGCAGTGTAAAGTGGCTTTGTTAAAGGGTCTCGTCCAAATGTAGGTGAATAGGATATGTTCTGGGTACCTTTGAGTCTGCCTTGGCTAAGCCCGGAAGAGTGAACTTAGCATGTCCTGGCTGTGCATTGCTGGCACCGTTTCTAGTACTCACAGTGACTTTGTTAGGGAAAAAAAAAACAAAGGAATGGGGGTCTAGAAGTTAAGAACCCCTAGGCATGAGTTGAATTTAATCAAATCTGGCCAACACCAAAGCACACCCTGGTGCCTCCTAGCCATAGCTACCGCAAGGTCCTGACAGATCGCGCGCACACAGCATGGTCACACACTGGCTAAGTGTTTAAATGTACGTAGTTTACTCTACACGAACAAACGAAACACCTACTCTCAGAACATGTTACTGCTTTTGCAATTTTGCCTTATCAGAATGTTCACTAGATGAAAAATATAACCTGTAACTCTGTTGTAAAGTCTGCATGCGGGAGAGGTGATCCCTAGATTCACGATCCTTGAGGCAGCGAACCTTCACTGAGAGGCTTTGATGGTCATCGCGTGCTGCCGTTTGCACCAGCCACGCTTGCTCCCTCTTATTAACCCAGATTGTCGTCCAGTTTCCAAGGACCCTCACAGTGTACACAAGCATTGCGAATGTTACGCCCGTACACGGATGGACACAGCGCAGAGTGGTGGAGAGGCAAGGGGCCTGAGGTTGGACCGGTAAATTAGAGTATACACGGAGCAAACCTGCTGCTTCTTTGTATGTTGCCAATTACAGTGGCCAGAGGTAATATGAAAACACGTTTGCTGGAGGTAATTTCTGACATTCATATACTTACCTCATGTTTATAAACTAGTTAACTGTAATCAATAATTATTGTTAGTGCCCATCTTCCAAAGAGCGAGTATGTCCAAGGGCACGTTGCCAATTCTAGGACAGCCCTCTCTTCCCAGAGGTGGGTCACCACCTCCACCTAGTGGTCACTGTTAGTAATGCAGTCAAGATACCTGAACCCAAGGCTGAGCCACCTGGAAGCTTTTAGGGAGACTGTCAGAGTGAAGAAAAAAAAAACAACAAAAGAGCAAATGTGTTTCTCCAATGCTAGGAGAGCAAAGGAAAAAAAAGAACATTTGGGGGACAAATTTTGAAAATTAAAAAGGAGAAATGTCTGAAGTGATTTGAATATCAAAAACTTGCTTCAGAAAGAGTCATGAATATAGGTATCATTTTTTCTCCTTTTTACAAAGAATTTATTTATGTAGGAATGTTTGAGCATGCTATGACACACATATGCAGGTCAGTGGACAATTTTCAGGAGCTGTTTTTCTCGTACCATGTGAATTCCAGGAGTTAAACTCAGGTCTTCGTTCTTGGTGAGAACCTTCCCTCACTGAGCCGTCTTTATAGACACATATATCTCTTCTTTGAATATTAATAGCTGTTTATATGAACCAGAAAACACGAGTAATTTAAAAATGCTCTTGTTGAGCTGTGGTCTGAAGAAGGATAAGTAGTCGAAGGTGGATCATTGGTTCTTCTGCTAGGATAACCATTCTCGATGCAGTAAAAAGCATTCAGGTCTATTATCTTTACCATGACCATTAAAGTTAACCACCACCAATGCTCCAAAGCCATGGGGTCTGCAAATGTGGATTCAGCCAACCACCAATGCAAAGACCTCCTCTCCAATGTTGTAGATGTTCTGAATATATGAATAATCTCCATCACTATTCCATAAGAACTATAGTATGACAGCAATTTATGTGTTAAGACATATCATAATACAGATTATAAGTTAACTGGAAAGGATTTAAAATACAAAGGAAAATAAAATGCATAGGAAGAAAGGCATATGCTTTGTGCAAATACCATGTCATTTTTATATCAGAGATTTGAGCATCCATATTCTTCTCACTCAAGAGGACTTGGAACAAATCTGCTACGGCTCATTACATTCTGTCATGTGTCAAGAACAAAGGAAATAGATGGACTCACGCCCAAGCCCATCTATGAACTAAAGGACCAACATGGGGTTCAAATTCAGGTAGATGACTCCTAATTCCATTCTGTTTATGACATTACATTGTTTTTCTTTGATTCACATGTGTTTAACAGTTTATTTCAAAGATTATTTCATATGTTGTTGTTGAGTTGTTAATATATTCAAATGGTTTCTGGAAAGTGCAAGAGCAAATGGAGAGCAGCAACTCTGCTGTCTCCTGACCCCATGGAGCCATCTTTCCTTGAGACTGCATTCATGAGTTGCTTACATTTCTATAGTGTCTCATCATGAGTCTGATCATGAAGGATCAGCACAGTGTCTTACATTTGCAGTCCCAACACTTGGGAGGCTGGGGCAGAAGGATAATGGGTTTGAGGCACTCAGGCCAGTATCTGGAGGCACAGACAGACAAACAAAAATGATTGCATCTCCAATGTTTTAAGAATCATAATTTTATTTATGAGAAAGTCACAGTATAGGGTAAATTAAATTAAGCATGAAAAAGTACTATGCTTGCACAGACAAAAAACTTAAATTCCATCAGAATGGTTTTTAAAATAGACCGTGTTAATTCACCATTCAGTTACTTGAAAGGTTTGGAGTTACCACTAATGTAAGGCTTTAAAATGACTGCTTCAATTTTCTCCCCAGCTCATTACATTCCCCACACATCATTGCAAAATTTCAAAAATATTCAGAGCCAATTTTCCTTTCCTTTCTTTTATTAAAGATGTCTTTCTTGACTTGGCATGGAGAGGAGCTCCAAAAGGAGACCAACAGAGACAAAAAATGTGGGCCTTGGGGGCCATGCAGAGACTGATAACCCAACCAAGGACCATGCATGGAAAGGATTTAAAACCCCTGCTCAGATGTAACCCATAGACTCAGTCTCGAAGTGGGTGCCCTAGTAAGGGGAGCAGGGGCTGTGTCTGGCATAAACTCAGTGCTAGCTCTTTGATCACCTCCCCCTGAGGGGGGGTTCAGCCTTGCCAGGCCACAGAGGACCTTCTGTATCAGTGGACTATGAGAGGGGCATAGGAGAAGAGGGAAGGAGGGTGAGATTAGGAAGAGACAAAGGAGGAGGCCACAGCCAGGATACAAATATAAACTGTAATAAATAATAAATTAAAAAAAATTAAAGATACCTTTCTTATTCTTAGATCTGTTCCTTGGTCATTAGATTAACTTGTAGCTAATCAAATTAATTCAGCTAGAAACACCTCATCTAAAGGGCCTCAGCTCAGCTCTTCAGTCCAGATTTAATTTCTGGTGATGGCATTTGCAACCTAGATGGCCATATCATCCACAAAATGCTCTTCAGTTTTTAAAGAAAAATGCTAAACTCTTTTTCCACATGTTGTTTTGTGAGTGCAAGTCCAGTTTTCACATGCAAACTGAATCAGCTCCATCATACTCAGTTTTACTTACATTTGCAAGAGGTCCCATTTTTAGCCAAGTCACAGCTGAGCTTTCCTGTCAGCTAATTAGTACTTGTTCTTAAATTGGGCAGCTCCAATTCAAGCTAGATGAGATGCAATTTATTTCCTCTCTACTCTTAAAACTGTCTAAGCTGTAAAATTCATGTTATTCTGCTTTTCCCTTTGTGTACAAGAGGGTTAGTTTAGTTTCATCTTGATCAAGTCACTAGAATTCTTAGTGGTTGCCAAGCAATCATTAAGTTGTTGTCCTTACTTAGTTAAAAAAAATAATTATAATAGTTGACTGTAGCTCTTGTATGTTCACACTGTTGATTAATTCAAAATGAAAACTCATTTGAAATCCCTCTTGAGATTGAAAGACAAGGGAATCTCTACTTTCTGATTTAAAGGGAGGGATCTTTATTCTCTAATTCATTGGATAGAGGGATCTATGGAGCAAAACTATTTTGAAACTCATCAAGTTGGAGAAACACCAACGCGCTGGGAGATACTTGACTGTAAAGGAGAGTGACTACAAACTCAATGGTTAAGAACACTTGTTGTTCTTGCAGAGGACCAGGTTTTGTATCCAGCCCCTACTTCAACTGTGTGTAACTCCAGTTCCAGGAGATCTGATACCCTCTTCTCTCTTCTGTAAGTGCCAGGCATGGATGTGGTGCACAGACATTCATATAGTCAAAACATACCGACCTATAATTAAAAAAAAAAGAAAAGAAAAGATTGACATGACAAGACATAAGATTTTCTTAAAAGACCCATTAATTTTGTTAGATGGGTTGATCTTAGCCTGTATTTTCTTATAGGAACATTTAAAATAAACTAACAAGTTAATTTGTCACTTATTAAATGAGCTAAACATAATGAATTAAAAATAGACAAGTTTAATTTTATTTTTCTTCAACTATTGTCCTCAACATGCTTCATCAAATGTCCCTTGTGTGGCAGTTAAGACAAATTCTGTTTCTATTGCATCTAATTCAAATATATTTTCCCTTGACCACTAGTGCCCATCAACGTGGAGACTGAAGGCGAACCGGCGAACAGCAGGAGTGGCCTGTTCTCTTACCCCTCATTGTTATATTGTGATCCTCCTTCTGTATCCTGAGTCTTACAAAAGGGAGATGTTGGGTAAAGAAAGAGCTGAAGACTTTCCACTTCCCTGGAACTGACTCTCTGTTCCTTTGCTAATGACACTTTTGTGGGACACACATTCAAATGGGGGTATTCTCTCAGCACAGGCTCATAGGTGTAGCACATCTACCTTTTGCACTGCTTTGTGATTGCCTTCAACTCCTGCACTAGTTGTTCAAATGAAAGATTTGCATCAATGGAATCTCCTTATCTCACTGCTCTGTGTGTGTGTGTGTGTGTGTGTGTGTGTGTGTGTGTGTGTGTGTGTGCATTTCTAGAGGCCAGGAACATCAGACATCTGCCTTCCTAGTGCTGGGATTAAAAGCATGTGCTACCACACCAACTTTTTATGTGAGTTTTGGGGATCAAAGCCAGCCCTCATGCTTGCAAGGCTTGCATTTTGCTGACTGATCATCCCAGGCCCAGTGGGTGGTGCATTTGAATGAAGAATCTTCAAGATGAGTCATCCTTTCCATGGTATTTACATAATCCTTGTTTCTGCCTCAGCAAAGAGAAAGCTCCCCATCACCCTTGAGAGGAGACATGAGCCCTCTCCTTTCTCAAACTGAGAATAGGTATCCATTATTCCTGGAACTCTCTTCATGCTGCTCTTCTGGGGCCAATGGAGAGGTCCTGAAGAGAACGGATCTATATGGAATAGCCTCACATATGAGCCTCATGGAGATGCCTTTTCATGTCTAGGACATGTAGGCAAAGGAGAGATGAAATTCAACTCCTGTGAATTTTCTCTTTCCAGTAAACGCACTTCTCAACCCTTTGGCCTGGATCTTGCAGTATTGTCTCTGTAACTTTTCCTTTGTCATTTACTAGCACAAACATCTGTTTCCTGAGCTTTGGCCTTAGTGATGTTCTAACAATGAAAAACATTCATTTTAATATGCTATGTGACCACAAAATGAGCAATGTTTTAGCAGCAGAAACCACCTAGGGGCAGCCTCAGAGGCCTTTGATACCCTTGGTTGAAAAGCTCAATGTGAAGTTCAAAGTTCAGACAAAGCCAAGGGTCCGTTCTGAGAACAAGAAAAAAGAAGGTGTGACCAGGTCACAGGACCTGTTGCTAACAAACAGAACGCCAAGGGATTTAAAAGGGACCACTACCAGAGAGATGAAGCCCTCTTTGCCCACC